AGTTGATGCATTTTCTGTCATTTTTGGCAACAATGATTCCCCAAAAAGGAGTACAGCAGTCTCAAAACAATGTTAAGAGAGAAAAAAAAAAAAAACACAGGAATCTGTGTAACATTTTGGACCAACATCAGCGTTAAGGCATAAGGCTTGAACGTCAAGGTGCCAATCATTTGCTGTACAGTCACAGATTCAGTCATAGTAGGCACAAACACATTGAGGTATAACATGGCGTTACGAATCACTCAGACTACCAACGCAGCAGCTGTAGCATGTCGATGTTAGCCAGCCTGTTAACAGTGCTAAAGCTAGCCTAGAATTACGAGTTCTGCTATTTCGTTGTGGGTGGATCTGTGTTGTCTTTGATGGTAAAATGCATTCCATTATGGTCTTGAACCTCTGCGGTGCTTCCAGTGCAACTTGTGTGACAGATGCAAAGCAAAATGGACAAACACCATCTCACCTGTTTAAAAAGAACCACAATGGAGACCTTGGATCTAAATGTCATGGTTTCATAACGGATACACTGACATTTGTGTGATGGGATTTAGCCATGGGTTAATACAGTCATCATTGATGTCCATCTTACACTCTCGGCCTGTGAAGTCTATTGCACCGTTTTTCTTTTCAGTTGCCCTCACAGAAGTTTCTTTCAAAGGCGCGAATTGAAAGCCAATTATTTTATCAGTGAAGAAGAGGGGGGAAAAAATCAGTTTGATATGTTGCTTTGTTTTATATGATGCTAATAACATGCCCCAGGAGCTATTTTTTTTTTAACTAACTGGCTAAAACGCACATTTATATCAGAAGCATGTAAATCTAATCAATTATCCTACTTCTTTTATTTTTATTTTTTTCAATGAAAATGCATTTGGCAAAAGTCACAGTATAATGAGGAATTTAAATTGGAAAACGAAAAGCTTTTGTTTCTGATTATAAATGCCAGGGTGAGGCGGCGACTCGCCATCCATGTATTATCCTTTCATGTTCATGTTTTTTTTTCTTTTTCTAAATTGTCAACTACAGCTTCGGCATGTCTTTTAATGAAGGCACACTTCTGAGCACTGTCCAAAAAAAAGTGCTTCCCTTTGACATTATTGTTTTACATTATACTGTCTTTACAGGGGGTCATTAGGTGAATGCAACATTTAAAAACAACTGTTTTCAATGAGCTTCCATACTAATCTCCTGTTTGTGTGTGTGTGTGTGTGTGTGTGTGTGTGTGTGTGTGTGTGTGTGTGTGTGTGTGTGTGTGTGCGCGCGCGTTTGTGCAGGTGCGGGGGTGGGTGTGTGTCCAAGTTGCAAAGGCTATTACTTGACTCGAAAGACGAGGATTTTCTTCTCTCTTTTTTTTGGACAACACAAGAGAAACTCTCCACCCCCTCCCTCCAAGTAGCCGTGGCGCGACCCAGTGTCAGATGCTTTCTTGGGCTCAGGAGGTTCCTTGGGGGAGAGCAGAATGGAAGTTGAGCATCTTGCTGTGATCCAAAGAAAGTGTGCCAAATTCTATCAACACTGGATTAGCACACAACATTTGTGTTCGATCAGCGGAAGAAAAAGAAGAAGACGACCGTAAGGGGTGGAGGGGGATAAAGAAGCTGTTTCCATGGAGCACAAACATGGAATTTTCTCAAAGCATTGCTGCTTCTGTCCGATATGAACGGATGCGCACGGGTCCCTTTTATGTTTAGCGGTGAAACTGTATGTTCATGAAAATCAATGTTTTAGTACAGGATAAGTATTGAAGTATCGGTACTCTCTTTCCCTCCAAGGCCTGCTGCACACCGTACAACATAGCCGCACATGACTGAAGTGGATTACGGCGAACAAATTACATCTGGCGACTCTCACACGCATGCCAAGGGATTGAGCAGTGCGCACCTACCAACGCAGGACAATGAAAAAACGGTGACTGCGTCAGGTTTTGAGGCTCAATATGCAATACTGTATGCTGATGCTGCACTGCATCATTTTTTTATTGAACCACAAAAACATGGCACAATTGTCAAGGAAGAAGCTTAACTGAGGACTAAGAAAAGTAGACAGCACATGATTTGATAGCACCTGTCTGTTTTTTACATAATTGTTTGATGAGTGAGTTACTGTATTTCTTGCACTTAGTACAGTACATCTGGCAGCACGTTCACTTTCACATTCACCCAATGGCTGTTTGGCCAATGTTGACATTTGGAGCAAACTCCCTGCTGACTTAATCACGGCAGATATTGCGTGTCATTTTGTGTGCCTTGCTCAGACTGGGGCTGATGGCAGGGCTCGTAATTCACCACCGCTGTGAGGTGGGACTCCTGGCGGGTCACGCGTCTCCCCACACTCTCTCGAGGTCACAAGCTTCATTCTGTCTCCGTGCCTTCCCGTCCCGCTGAGCCAGCCAGTGTAAACACAAACAGCAGTGACGCAAAGAGGTTTTGAATGCACCAGAGAATCGGAGGAAAGCGACAAACAAGTCAGCTGCTTCCTCATAATGCCGATCATTAGGATGTTTATGTGTCACATAAATATGACATAGTGGAACCTCCAATTTCCATTTCGTTATGCTGGTTGACTTCCAATTTCTAATTTCCACATATTATCAATATATGAAATAATGTATAGCAATTTTTACCCTAGTCCCCATATGAACATTTAGTGACTGGTAGTGTTAAATTGGGCAACTGCAGATGGAGGAAGCCCTTTCATAAAATGTCTTAAGATTGGTTTACAGTATTACAATAGAGTGATACCTTGACTTACAAGATAACGCGCAAGCTCACAATTCTGTTTGCTTGAATATCAAATATGTTTCACCCCTTAATGTGTAGTAAAATACTAATATTAATCCATTCCAGTTGCCCAAACATCACCACTTTTTTCCTATGTTTTACATTTTAAAAAAAACACACGCGTGTACAAACACTTGATAAAAGAGAATGTTAAGAAATACTGATGAGGACAGGCAAGTTTCATCAGATTACCCCAATACAGGGCAACTTGAATTGTCTCCCGCTCCATTTGACAATACAAAACAGAAAACAAAGACAAAACTGTGTATCTACTTGAAATGTAAAACTGTGAATATGCAAATCCGCGGGTTCATATCTTGCTGACTGAGTGGTGCCGTACGTTCCATCCCAAAACTTTAATTGCAACATGTAGGTGAAGTCTGCACATTATACAGTGTTCTCTGTTTTGGCTCCACTACTCCAGAATAATCATACCTGCAGAAATTAGAGCTGCTATGTCAGTAGAAATGTTTAAATCTCGACTGAAGACTTCGTTTATACTCTTGCTTTTTGTAAAACTACACCGAGACCTGTGTTATTGCCACTTCTCCTATCTCTTATCCACCCTCATTGCTCGGTGATGGTGACTGAACCCAATGCCGTTGCTTTACGGATTCTGCACCGACCGACCGGGGCAAGATCTGTGGTTGGCCACCTCACCAGGGGCGTGGCTCTGGAGAAGTCGACGTCAACCAACGGGGCAAAGGAGGAACCACTTCCTTGAAAGCATCTTCCTGCAGTGCTTCATTTAATTAAATGGACTCTCATGATGTCAGAGTTAACATTGTACAGCACCATGTAATGTGTTAAATGTTTTGCACTCTGCAGCCATTACAGCCTGGACATCCTAGTGGGAGGTTTCCCCCATCTGTGACATTTCTTGATTTCAATGGCTTTTCATGACCCTGGTGAAGGGAACTGGGATAGAAAACTTGATGTTTGGTTATAGGAAAATAAACTGGCTTTACAAAGTGCAATTACTATTTGCACTGTTGTACAGTGATAACTCGACTTCCAAATGACCCAACTTACTTGGAGATAGGAGCCATTGTTTGGCTTTTTTTCTGAGTTGTGAGCAAATTTGACTAATGAGAGCAAAATGTAAAAAAAAAGGAGGCCAAAGTTAACCCTTTCAGTAATAAATAGTTAAACACAAATGCCACAGCTTTTTTTTTTTTTTGCAGGTGCGGTAGACTTCTAAGCAGCAATAAATATTTGGAAAATTAAAAAAAATTACATACTGGATAAATTTAGTATATAGGTTTACTTTTAGACCATCTACAAATGACGTGGCCCATGTGTCCTTTTAAAAGATCAAATGTGAGCCTTGAGCACAAAGGTTTGCCCACCCTTGATTAATGGGTCATCTTGGGCAGGGTGTGGCAAACTATGGCCTTAGGGCCATAGTTGTCACTGTCATGAGGTGTGACATGGTAGTGGACGTTTTGTCATTTAATCTGGCTCACAAAGCATTTACATCATTTACTGTCGTATTAGAATTATTGGATTAATGTAGTCGGGGGGGGGGGGGTTTCTCCAAGTGGTTAATTTTTTTTCATTTATGTCATCAAATAATTGGTCATTTCAGTGGTTCTCAAACTTTTTACTGCAAGTACCTCATCTAAATAATAAATAAAAGCCGGACAGTGGTAGACTGGTTAGCACGTCCACCTTGCATGTTCTCCCTGTGTCTGAGTGGGTTTCCGCCCGCATTCCTGTACATATCAAATGTGTTGCATTCAATAAACCAATGTTATTATTCACATTTTGAACATTTAATTCAGTGATTCTCAAATACCTCTAGTTGTGGTACCATGCTTTGAGAATCACTGGCATAACTGATTAGAGATTTGGGAAACAGCAAGTAATCAAGTACCGGTAAGTAAATGACCCATGCGAAGATAATTATATGATGGAAGATTATCTGCAAAATTTTAAACTGAAATGAATCATTTTGTTTTTTAAAATAAATAATTTTACATACACACTCAAAGTTATTTATTGATTTATGAATTTGTTTGTTTATTTATTTATTTTGTGTCTGTTCATTGTGGAAATGTGTGCCCTGAGCACAAAAGTTGAGGCCCACACGCCCCGCCCCTGAAACCTCCAGAGACGTGATGCCCAATGAGCTGGTTCCCCTGTCAGTACACGCCCTATCTGCCGCCTCGGCCAATCACACAGGACAAGAAGTTCCTTAACCAGCCAATCGACGCTCTCTATTCTAACGTAGCTGGAAGAAAAATGGCGGCGCCCATCAGAACAACTCTCAAACGACTTTCGCAACAGTAAGTTGGATTTTATGCCTTTTAAGACGCTTTTGCTTTCATTAATGTTCGTAAAAGGTATCGGGTTGAGCAAGTGCAACTAACTCTGGGGTATATTTTCGTAGCTTTGTAGCCAAACAGCAGCAAGGCTCATAGGAGTAAAGTCACTGCTTGGTAGCCTTCGTTTGTTTGTTTACCATGTGTATTTAAAAAAAAAAGGATCAAGAGGGTGCATGTTGTGCCAATTGACGTTTGATGCAATGGATTGGGTTTAATTTCATTTGTGTTTTTGCTTGTGTTGGTTATAAAAAGAGGTTATTCTGCAGTTTATGTTTGACCGTGTGTTCCATAATTACGTGAAGCACTTTTGAGTCCTTGCTCTGACAGGGATAGTAAAATGTCTTTACTTACTGTCTGTAATGTACGTAGTAACAATACTGGAAATCCCTTTACAAAACGCTAAGAATAGATAAGAAAACACGAGGCTTGACTTAAAAAAAATCTACTTCACATTGCTTTTACATTCTAAGTTTGTTAAGCATTAGTACCAACAACAAAGCAAAACCATATTCACACATTTCCTAACCATCTAACCAAAACATGTTTGCTGTCATTACATATTCTCTCTCTCTCTCTCTCTCTCTCTCTCTCTCTCTCTCTCTCTCTCTCTCTCTGTCATTTGTTTGACCAATTATCAATTCTACCTCCACTATCGAATACCATTAGTGAGGCAAATGATCAATTGTACTTAAATATATACAAAAAAAAATGGGCAGCACGGTGGCGGACTGTTAAGTACCTCACAGTGGAGAGGTGCAGGGTTCGATTCCTGCTCCGGCTTTCGTGGATTTTCTCTGGGTACACTGGTTTCCTCCCACATTCCAAAAACATGCATGGTGGGTTAATGGAACATTGTCCCGAGATGTGGTTGTGAGTGCAAATGGTCGTTTGTCTATGTGTGCCCTGCGATTGGCTGAAAACCACCTCAGGGTGTACCCCGCCTACTGCCCAAAGGCAGCTGGGAAAGGCTCCAGCATGCCTGCAACCCTTGTGATTATAAGCGGATACAAAATTAAATGGATGGATGAATATATAAAAAAAAATGCACTGTCCTGCAATACAAATGTGTTTTTCCCATCTCTGTTCAGTACCGTTAATCTGAGTCTGTAGATAAAATATTAATGATGTATCGTCTCAGATTATGTATTTATTGGATCAAATATGAATTCCAATATTTAGATTTGAAAAACATCTTGAAATTGAGATGATTGTTAATCAAAGGCAGTGATCTCCCACCAAAGAATCAAAACATTTCACATACCCCCCACATTAAAAAAACCTCATTACAAGTTAACTTTACCTGCTGTGGCTGCACGTTTCACATGTTGCTTTTAAAATGTTGAAACCATTAATAAATCAATTAGTCACTGATTTAAAAAAAAAAAAACAGTGCACATTGTTTTTAGAAGCTGTTTGTCAGGGCCATTGGAAATCCCTTGTAAAAACTGATTTCTTTGCAAAATTTGTCTGTGTTTTCTCTGGAAAAACTCCCAATTCCATTTCTGCAAAACGGACCAACCACAATCCTCGACACATCATCCTGCTGTCTTCCAGCCAATCATATAACATGACGCCATCAACAGGCGCAGGCCCCTGAGCCGATCTGACCACCCGAATCGATCTGGTGCATACACCGTTATGTATAAACATGCAGTTATGTGTAATTGTGTATGTAAAAAGAAACTTTTTTTTAGCCCACAATGTTTTGCATTTTATACTAATGTACATATTCTTTCGACATAAATGTAAGATTATATGTCAATTTTTTTCCCTATTTTTGTCAAATACTTAAATGCTTTAAATTGAGACTGAGGGCTTGGTGTTATGGCCTGAAATTCATGCCAAGGCATGAATTGAATCCCTTCACAAAATGTGATGGCAAAACTGTAAAAATCATAATGGAAGTATTTCTGAATGAGTTACGAGCTCTTATTCGGGTCCTTTTACATAATCCTGTTTACTAACAATCCAGCAAAATGCCTCTCGCACTTGCATTTAACACTTGGCGGAGGTAATAAATATAATGGGTACAGTTTACAGCCTCAACAAAGGGTCATGTCTTCCTAATTGGATCCGTTGTGACTTGAAGGGAAAGTGGCGTCTACAAGGTTAGATGATCAGACGGCCGCGACCGCGAAGCAGAATGCACACGGTTGTTGTTTTGTTTCAAGAACAGCCTAGAGCCACCCTCGCTTCGCCTCAATACTGGCGGCAGACTGCTCTTTGTCACCAACACCCTCAAGTCAAAGATGCAACGGCATCCTGGGAGGAAGCGTTGGCTGCCGCTATGAAGTCCACAAGTGATGAAAGTACACTGGAGCTTGTCAATTAAGAGAGCCAAGGCCTGGACCTTATAAGTTAATGGGCAGTTTCCCCTCTGGGGGCCTGCTAGGGCTTTATAGCGATGCATATAAAAAGCTCAAGTGTAATGCCTCCCTATAACGTTTTCAATTAAGAGACGCGAAGTAGCGCCCACGCTTGCTAAAATACTTTACATGGTGGCGTTTGGCATTGATCAGGATGCGACTTTTTCCAACTCTAACCGTTGTTTTGAAAGTGGCTGTATTTTGATCCTACTTCCTATGAGTCAGTGTCACGTAGTTACGCCAGATAAAATATTGCAGTATTTTTCCATCAATGTTATTATAAGACAGCGATGATGTATTTTGCAGTTCAACTAATAAGAATATCGTGGACGTCTATTTCGGTACTTTGCTTTCAATTTGAAAACTGAAATTCCTGTTCAGACTTCTTGAAAATAATTACAGAAGGCCCTTTATCAATTCTTTAATAATTTGTATCATTTATTGTGTACAATTTCTCACAATGTTGAATTTAGGGTTCAAATAATAAACGTGTGGCAGCACATCTAATGTAACAGTAACCCTCTTTTCACAGTGACCCTTTTTGTCAAACTTCACAAACAGAGAAAATCAAATGCACCACGCAAACATTTTCCAAAATTATCACTTCATTTCAAGCTTTTCCAATGAATTAATTGTCATCCATATTTTACAAGCTTTAAGGAGTTTCACTTCAGAGGTTCCAATTTCCATTTCTAAGTGTTGACATAGCAGCCACTCGTGATCTGTACCATGATGGATAAGAATGTGTTTCACAATATTGATATTTTGTCCCAGCTCCAGTCCTTCCCGACTAAAACCGAATCCCCTTGAATACTCCTCATACTAGAATCACATACATTTGCGCGGGATTTATTTGTATAGGAGAGAGGGAAATCCTCAATGAAAATCCCCTCACTCATCTGGTGTCGTCTGTGCTCGAGCTGGCTTTGGCTTCCGGTAGAAAAATAAATGAGTGTTTGAATAAACACCCGCGTGTTGACACCTCATTTCCTCATTGATTGGCACTGGAAGCCGAGAGTTCGAAGTGTGTTTGTGGGTGTGTGGCCATTATCCAATCAGGTGGGAAAACAACCAGTGGGAATGTGTAAACAATTCCTACTGCCACTTCATCTTTTACTCAATCTTTTGATTTGAATGAATTATTTCAACCTTTATTGACTTTTCAAGAGTTTTCCCACATTGTGCCGATTGCATTTTCTCACTGTTTTGGATTCTTTTGTCCACCGGCTAAACCCTTTTTATATCACATGCCGTGGAACCTGGGGTTGTACCATTCGGAAATGGACCACAATTATTGGTAAAATACAGCTTTGAAGTCTTATGAAACTTCACGATTCAGGCCATCATGTTGGGTGACGACACACAAGGCATTACTATTTTCATGTCGAGCAAACAATCCGATCGAGATCGGTTTAGCTTCTGGTGTGTTATGTTTCTTTGCAATGCTTATTTCAAAAGATTGGCCTTGGTAGCTCATGACTGTAACAGAAAAATTAAGCAGGAAGCTAACTTTAGTTCCACAAATAAGCATTGGATTTTTCTTCTTCTTTGTTGCTCTGTGGCACGTATTCCACAAGGACAATTGTCGCGTATGAGTTCACGCGAGATGTCAGCATGATGTCAGCATACCTCATGAATTCATCTCAGTGGGCATCAAAGCATTAACTCTGTTTTGCTTGTTCTTTTGAAACTTTTGTTTTTAAGGTTCACCTTTAAATGGTCAGCTCTTTACAGTTCGTTGTATGAGAAGTAAAAATACGTATGAGGATCTCCCTGAAGCTCGTATGCCTGGCTATGGGCTTTACCGATTATTTAGAATATGATTTTAAACGTATATAACTGTTTAGATATGTTAAAATACAGTTCAATAAATATTTTTATTGTGGAGACAGTTTGACCCAGGCAAGGATTATTTCTATTCTCATTATTTCCATATTATAACTGATTATGATTGACTTGAGAGGTTTTGCTAAAGAGTATTTCCCCATGACAAATTGCTTAAACGTTCACACTGACATTTTGCGAAACACCGTCTCACCATGATACCGTGGTTTCACGTTCGCACTGTCTCATTGCGTATTTTTAATGCTTCCTATGATCATTCATCTGACAAACATTTTGGATATACAAACACATTTGTGTTGGCTAGAAACACGTTTGACTACTTTTTTACAGTTTTTATCTATTGCGGGTGTGTCTGAAATGTATTCCCCGCGGTACGTAGGGGTTCACAGTTTTATTAATTGTTTCATCGTCATATGTTACCATGCTTTATTAACTAATGCGAATGGCTCACCCACCAAGCCTCTCCTTTCACGCCACACTTTTCAAGGCAATGCATCAATAAATGGCTCTATTACCTGTTGTTGACCCAGCTAAGCTTGCCTTTGAAACGTGTTACAGAGCATTAAGTTAACACATGTTGCTATGCAAAAACAAACTCTGGCGGCTGGTGTGGGGGGGGCCAGCTGAGTAAACGTGCTGGATGGAGGGGAGGGGTGGTGGGTGGTCAGGGAGAGGGAAGAGGCCCCACACTACACTTGTCCCGGCGAAAGGTGGATCCATACGGCCAACAGATGGATCTGTTGGCCTGTA